CACATAGCAAATAAGTGAAAATACTAGTACGCGTTCCTTTAGCACCTCCGGACCGCGGTCTCGATGGTGTACTTCCCATCGAAATCGGCGTCGATAGGGCTGCAAAACGCCGGCCGGCAAGTTGCTCTTTCTCTGGTTTGTTATTGTCCAGAGGAGGCGCATGATGTCGAAAGGCGAAGCCCGGGCTCTAAGATGTCTCGGGCCGCAGAGCTGACTCCGCTCGCCGAAAAACTGCCTCTCGATTCGTGTCCTCGACGCGATTTCTCGTCAATCGAGCCCCTGAGTCCTTATGGCGACGCGTCGATTTGGGCCGTTGCGTCGCGGCTTTGTGGTCGCCGCGGTCTGCGTCGGGCTCTCGCTCCATCCCGGCGCCTGCGGCGACCTCGCGACGCCCGGGGACGGCGTCTACGACGCGGCGTTCTTCGAGCAGCACCGCGCGAACGCCGACGTCTACGGGCCGCTCGTCGCCGCGATAGCCGCGGCGGCGGGCGGCCTGCCGGACTCGGCGCTCGACGTCGGCTGCGGCCACGGGCTCCTCGTCGAGGCCTGGCGCGAGGCGGGCGTCGCGCGGAGCTTCGGGCTCGAGGGGTCGCCCGCGGCCGCGGCGATGTGGCCCGAGGCGTTCCGCGACGAGTTCTACAAAGTCCAGAACCTGACCCTGCCCGGCGCGGCCGCCACGGCCGAGGCGACGGCCCTCGTCACGAGCTTCGAGGTCGCTGAGCACCTGCCCGTCGAGGACAGGGCAGGAAAAGAGAGCGAAATTCCCAACTTCAAAGGCTCCGATCTCGGCCGTTTTCCACTCGTTTCGGCTGATTTTTGGACGAGCGATCATCTCTCGGAACGGTCTCGAAGCATGGATGCTTTTTCCGGAACGCGCGCGCGCGGAACACTCATGTTGAAGAGAACTTGAATCACCCTTTTCCTGCCCAGGTCGAGGACGCGGACGAATTCGTCGCGGTCGTCGTCGCGAAAAGCCCGCGCCACGTCTTCTTCGGCGCCGCGACGCCGTCCCAGGACCGCGGGGGAAATCCCACGCCCTTGAACGAGAACACCTTCGCGTTCTGGCTCGACCGCTTCGAGGCCGCGGGCTACGTCTTCGACGCGGCGCGCACCGCGCGCGTGCGCCAGCTGCTCTTGGGGACGCCCGCGGCGCGGCCGGTCCTCCGCAAGAGCTGGTGGTACCCCAAGAACATCCTCGCCTTCGCCCCCGCGAGCGCGCGGCCGGAGCTCGACGCGGCGGTGGCGAAGCACCCGGACGCGGCGGACATGCGCGCGGAGGCGTACCTCGCCGCCGGCGGGTCCGCGGCGGACGTCTTCGGCGACATGTGGCGCCGGGACTGGCTCGCCTTCGCCGACCTCTTCTACGCCGAGCGGGCCGCGGCGCGGCGCCGCCTCGTCGCCGCCCACGGCCCCGTCGACGTGTCAAGTGCAGGCCTCCTCTACTCCCGCCGCCCCGCCACACCCGCGGCCCCGCCGCCGCCGCCGCCTCGCCACACCCGCGGCCCCGCCGCCGAGCTGTAATGAGAGGCGACCTACTCTAGATCTCGGTAGAGGCCGCGGCGCGAGGTCCGCGAGCTAGCCCTGCAAAATGACTCGCTAAAATATTGCCTCGCGAGATTTGGGGGCTATCGATCGGGCTCGCCGGCGAGCACTGGTCATCGAGGGTCCCCGGCTAGTCAAGCTCAATCAAACACTCCGTTCCAGGGCCTATCCCATATGGCGACGCGTCGATTTGGGCCGTTGCGTCGCGGCTTTGCGGCCGGGGTCGCCGCGGTCTGTTTCGGGCTCTCGCTCCATCCCGGCGCCCGCGGCGACCTCGCGACGCCCGGGGACGGCGTCTACGGGCCGCTCGTGGCCGCGATAGCCGCGGCGACGGGCGGCCTGCCGGACTCGGCGCTCGACGTCGGCTGCGGCCACGGGCTCCTCGTCGAGGCCTGGCGCGAGGCGGGCGTCGCGCGGAG